CGTACTCGGGACCCCGTCGCGATCGTCTCGAATATTTCGCCTTCGACGATCGCGTCTCGTCGACGGGACGATCGTAAACGAATTCCAGCCGGTGGGCCGGTGAAGTTGCCGCGACTGGCGAACTCTCTTATCGTCCTCCTCCCTCTCTCCCGCTCTTCCGCTTCCGTCCGTCCGTTATTACGTGCACGGGAAAGTTGCCGAAACGCGCAAGGCACGCGATACAGATTACCGGGGAGGAGGAGAGAACGGCACGTCGTCCGTCCTGGCACCGATTCGATTGCACCCGTTCGCTTTATTGCCACGGTATAACTGCATATAAAATGCCCGGCGTCGCGCCGCGCCGCGTAAATGGCAAAGGTATATTTATTTACGACTTCCTAGTCGGACCAGATAGAGAAAGTGGACGGTTCGCGCGCGCACCACCTTCTGTTTATAGTCAAGAGCGACCCCGCTGTAATGGCGCAACTACTTGCTCGTCGTAATGACTGAAGCAACCTCCTCGATGTGTCGGATCTTTCCGTTCATCAGTTTCCACGACCTCCGATCGGCTGCTGCCGCCGAACCTGGAGACTCCCCAGGTATCTTTGAACCTCGTCTCCCCCCCCCCCCTCTCCCCTCTAACATCTCCTGCACCTTTAAGACTATTGTCCTTTATTTGCATTCCTTTTCCTACGGCATTACTCTGGGAGAAACAATTATTAATCTTGCTAAACTTATAGTAATTTTGGTGAGATTAATCATTGCTTCTTCCAGTGAAATTTTATCTGAAGAAATTTCGAAAGGAGGCGTCGCTATGTCAGTAATAATAACCTTACACGCTATTTTCGTTTGTTTTCGTTTATATCGCTATTTTCGTTTGTTTTCAAATGAGGCTTCACCTCAAAAATCGAGAGAGTACAAAAATGGTCTCTCCAAAAATACTACTTTATTATACGGTTCATAAATATCAAACGTTTCTCGATTCTCTCGATCTTCTCGGCGCATCGACGTTGACAGCGAATCGAGGAGCCGTTCGCGTTGCGACCCGGATACATTTGCGGGCCGAGCGAAAGCTATATTCACGAGTACAAGATTACGACAAGTTTTATTCGCCACGAGCAAATATAACACGCGCGATCGATGTCTAACGAATCCACATCGGCAGGGCGCCGAGGGAAGAGAGGCGTTTTCATTAGTCACGGTGCACCAACGCGAACGCGCGTTAATTAAAGCATCTCTCGGCTCCGACTGTCAATGTTAACTAGCCCGTTCGAGCTTGCGTTACTCGTGTGCTTGCCTCGCTCTTGTTCGCCAGTTAGCGAAGTTTCCGCCGCGGAACTTCGGTGAAGCGAGCGAGGCGACGCGCGTAACGGCGACGACGCCCGTGCTCGCAGTTGATAAACACCGGATAATCGCGCGGATAAAGGCTATCCGGACGTCGTAGGACGGCGACGGGGATTGTCGCGGCAACGAATGCACTCGTTACGACACATTTGCGCTTCCGCAACACATAATAAAGAAAATTTCTTACGGTCTAACTGGGACGTATCGAGTCTGATATCTGACGAAATAATGACGGATCCCAGTTGGGAAATCTCTACGCGGGTTCCGGTTAGAAGAGTAACGTTTCAAACAATATCAAGTGGGAAGTTATAGTTTTGAAGGTTCAGAAAAAGAATTGGTCTCTTTCCGATTCTTCGGTTTCTTCGGGAGAAAACGCAGAGGGTAACTAAACAGGATCCGTTCATGTTTTCCAAACACTTGTGAAGTAAAAAGATCAGGTTTTTCCAATTATTCTGCGGATTTTTTTTTGGCTTCTCATTTTCTTCACGGAAGGAAGCAAATGTGGCAAGTATTAACCGACGTGAATTTTTCTAAACGAATTTTTCTATCCTTGGAACAGAAACCGAAAAAAATTATAAGTAAATTAGAATTCTGTTTAACTTCTTTAAGAACGTGTCAATTTCGTTACTTTTCTCCTATTTGTGGATAAAATAGCGAAGATTAAAATTAAACTTTTTACGCATACAAAGAATAATTTTCACAAACTTTTTATTTTATTTTGTTATAATGTGCGACACGGCAAATTACAAATAAAATAAAGCGAAAACAAAAATATTTTTTTGAATAAAAAATACGATTCGTGATAAATAGCTTAAAGAAAAAAAAAAACTAGACAAAAATAAAAGCAATTATACAGGTCAACAGACAATTTTTTTTAATAAAACGTTTGAATACGTCATTTTATTTACACATGATATTCGCGCGTGATATTTCACTCCATGATCACTATATTAAATTTTTCAATTAAAAAGAATATTGCGAAATGAGGGGTGAAAAATAATAGTGCTTCATTTTATACGTTTTTTGCGACATACAAATAATAGTTTTCTATAGAGAAAATGAAAATATTCGTTGTATTGTACAATTCTTTATGAAGAAATACCACGAAATACGATACTGATGTATCCGAAACAGATTTTTTATTATTTAATTACGTTGACAATTTGACGTTGACAATTTGAAGTCAAACTACAACGGATCATTTATTATTATTGAAAGCCTTTCAATGAGCTGGGCACGTTTCGTTGTTTGCTTAGAAAGAAACTAGCAGATCAGTATCTTACATACTTCGTCACCTTACCTTCCTTTTCCCTACATATCTGGAAAATCTGGGGAAACTTCTGTGCGGGGAATCGTGAGCGGCAGCAGCGACGAGGAGTATTGCCCGTGTTAATCCCGAAATCCCGAGCGCGGTGACACGGTCCGACCGCGGGATTGTCGCGAGGAATCGGCAGACACACGTGACTCCGCTTCCTCGTCGCCGATTGTCGCCGGGATGTTGAAAAAATATATATTTCCATGATAATCGCGAGTCTCTCGGGCGTGCACGTTCACCCGTCGCGCGGACATTTTGCGAAGATAAAGGCGCGTTGTCTCTCGCTCGCGCTGTCATTCGCGAGTCGGGGGAGGGAGGGGGTCGGAATCGCGCCCCTTATCACCGCCGTACGAGAGCGGACAAACAATAGCGGCCGACAATGGCAGCTCGAACGATGACGATGGATTTCGTCGTGTTCTCTAATCCGCGAGCTCGTCGCGCGTCCAACATCAACGACCCGCTCTCTTCTCCCCTTTTTCCCTCCCCAGCTCCGTTCTTTCTCTTCCTCCGCATTCTCGAATATTCTCGCTAATTAGCGAGACCTCGCGCTCTTCGACACGGTGGCGCTTCGTCGAGTCCACGAATCCTCAATCGCGAGTGCTCGAATTGCCGAAGTTCGCGAGCACGCGCGGCTCGTCGTCGATTCGTTTTATCGAGCGAAGGCGGAGTCGAAACTTTCTCTCTCTCTCTCTCTCTCTCTACTCTTCTATCCGAGCATTAATTTGAAGCTTCGGACACTCTCGAGCCAAGTCACGATCCGCGCCCACTCGAGTCTTCCCGAGCGGCAACTCTTCATCTCTCTCTCTCAACGTTCCTGCGTTTACACAATACATCTCGCAGAATTTACGAAAAGAAGACGTTATACGGACGCAATTAGTCAGCCCTAATCCGTGACCGAGAGTCGACCCGGAACCCTTTGCCACCCCGGGGAGATCAGCCCGTGGAAACGCGGAGTTAACCCTCGCCTCGGGAAATCGACTCGATGAGATTTCCGCGCGTCAAGCGGGAGATCATCCCCCTTGTTATCGCGTATACGGGACGTAGACGAGACGGGGTCGGACAATTCCCGCCGATCGGGAGATCCGCGGCGTGTCAAGAATCGTTCTCGCGATTATCGCACAGCGGAAACGGCGCGTTCCGTCGCGCGTCAATGGGACCAACGAGCGACTACATCGAAGTCTCCCTCCTCCGCGCCCCTCTCTGGGATTTGCATGTGTAACGAGCAACCCCCTCCGCCCTCCGGGTGGTTAAAAAGTAGCGAACAACGACGAGAGAGGACAAGGATTGGGGGAAACGGGAAGAGAGAGAAAACTATAGAGAGGAAAAGCGAAAAGAGGCGGCGAGGAAAGAGGGAGAGGAGAAGAGATAGAGAGAAAGAGAGTAAAGGAGTCCGGGGGTGGGAATCCATTAACGAGTGCCGTTTTCATACCTTCCCTATGCCACTCTCGTGCAGTCGCCTAACCCCCTTCCATCCCGTCGTCGTCCTTAGTCTCTTCCTCTTTCTCCGTCCCTCCTGGCGTCCCTCTTTTCCTCGGTCTTGCTGCTCGTTGAAAGAGCATCCAACGGCACAATAGATCGTTCATTACCGATACCGACTACCGGGGCCCGAAAAGCGGAAAGATAGTAATGCGAGAAAGCGGGGGTAGCCGGGACGAGAAGATGCCCGGAGGAGGGGGAGCTTCGGTATGCGCGGCTGCCTTCGTGTGCGCGCATGTAGCGCAAACGCGCTTACGGACAACGGCAGTGGCGGTAGAGACGGGTGCAAAGGGAAAGAGAGAGAGAAAGGGGAGGGGAGAAGATGATACTTTTAAGAAAGATGGCTGGCGCCGTCACGTTCCGGATCTTCCCCGTATCTTCCGAAAGCAGCTTGCGCGGATTATAATTACGGTAAAGTCGCCCGATCGCTTTCAAACACTTCGCTCGTCGTTTAATCACGCGCGTTTCGTTATGCGCGTAGAACACGTAACAGCAATGCCGAACATTACCGAAGCCGGTTGTGCTAAATGACACGTTGAAATCTGGAGGGGAGAAATAATGACGTTACATTCGGGAGGGTGAAAAACGTTTCTGTGGTGGGTAAGAGATACTTTTTTGTTAGTTTCGTGGTTTTAAACGAAAAGAAGACTGAGAGATCCCGGAGGCTGCATCTTCGCGGAATCTTTACGATATCTTTACCGGAATATCGTCAAAATGGGCCGAAAGCCGTCAAATGAAACGTGAAAAATGTTCGGGGCTTTCGCGAAGAAGCCAAATCCGAAGCGTGTCGACTAATCCTTCCGCTTTTGATATTCTTTTTTTTTTCGGATTTCAAAGCGAGCGTCGCTTTTAATCATCCGTCTTCTCTGTTTCCTCTGCGTTTCAGTGACGCGTTAGGGCTGTGAAGGAGAGATCCGGAAGCGACGAGTCACCAGCGGACGAGTCAGTAGCAGACCATCGATGGCGGCCGCGAGTTTCCCGCCGAACTTCTCGAACGTCGGTGTACTGGAGAACTGGTGAGTGTGTTTCTTACAATAAATCGTCACGAACTGACTTTGCCGCCATAAATATGTCTGAAAAGCTGAGATCCTGTTTCGTCGTTCCGTGCGTCCCGAATCGATGAATCTGTCGTTGCTCTCGATCCATCTTCGGGAAAAGGCCAACTCTATTCTTATCGAGCCGCCGGCTGAGTGATCACAATATATACATATACAATTATTCTCTATATATATAGAATAATTAAAGAAAGATCCAGAAAATACTTCTCAGAAAACGGATCAGAGCCGATGATGTTTCGTTCTCGGGAATTGGCTGTCTTAAATTTACCACAGTTATCGGATTGCTTAGCGCGTTAAAGGCGAAAATAAATCATGAGATTGACGGATACAACGTAACCTCGAATTGGCGGAACTTCTGTTATTCCGGAGCCGTACGTCACTCGGTTGATCGTACAATATTAAAGATGCAACGTGCTTGCGCGTAACGTCAACGTCAACCGAGGATACCGTGAACCTCTGTAACGCATGAACTCAGCTTTAATTGCAAATAGACTAGGCTTATGCTGTGTCTGCATGTCGGTGATGCGTGAATCTCCTGTAACTTCCTGTTTCGCGAGCTGTTTCACGAGCCGTCACTTGTACACAGTGCACGATAAACACACACTGTAAAGAGCGTATTATTATACATGCAGGGTGTCTCACAACATGCGGGCATAATTTCAGAAGTGTATTCAAGACGCGAAGGTAACAATAAAAGTTTATATAAACACTTGTTCTATCTGACTTCTATGGTTTGCAACGGTAGATAACGATTGACGTAACGTTGATCCGCCAACGTATCGAAGAAAGTTGCCAGCGAGTCAGAATAGCATCCAGAACGTCATTAGAACGTAATTAGAAAACCGATGATAAGACGGTTTAGAAGCTTGTTTTCGAGTCATTTGAGCACTTCCTTTAAAATCAGAAATATTTGAAGACACCACGCTGGCTCAATTTTTAACGAGAATTAGTGAAACACGAAAACGTCAGTTCAACCCGGAAACAAGATCAGACAGGACAAATATTTGTATAAACATTTTGTCCTACTCTTGTGTCGTGGTTTAATTTCTAAAATTACACTCACATGTTATGAAAACTCTCTGCGAATATATTTATATTTATATATATATATATACATATTTACATCCGCATTGACGGGAAGATCTCGATATTTTTTCCTCCGTTTTTATCGTTCCCAGGCAGCTTAACGGGGATGTTTCGTTTGCACTTTATCTCCCTGTTGATTGTGTGGATACACACCATTTATTTCAATGCTCCGTCATCGAGCGTCATTGATAAACCGTGAAGTGTTTCCGCGCGCAGGCCAAAATGAACAGTCGGTAACAACGCGCGAGATATCCAATCAGCGGTGCGCAAAAATGTCGGTTAACAACGGTTGCGAAGGGGTTCTTCATTTCAGCCGCACAATTCCGCCGGCGTGTTACGTATTTTCCCCGGCAACAGACGGAATTTCGGGCGAAAGCGCAAAAACGGGGGAGGGAAAAACTTGCCGGCGATCGGCCGGTCGGTCGTGCTCGATCGACAAGGAATCAAAATCGCGCGGTCTGCGAATTCGAATCTCTCGGCTGCGAGATGAATTTTCATGTCGGGCGGGTTTAATTAAAAGAGGCCGGCGTCGCTTTTTAGGACGTCGCGCGATTCCCGAGTCCGCTAGTCGAGACCCGGCATGATATTTGAACGTTGAGCACAATAAAGTGGCTAAGACAATGCAGCATTGTTGTGTGTGTGTGTATGTGTATACATTTCGAGATATCTCGCACGGAAAGCCTGACGGTATTATCGTCCGCGCCGTCGAGGACGGGCCGCTGCAGCAGCGAGGATAGGCGGGATGAAAAGTAGGTTTCTTCTATTTTCCAGTTCTGATTAAAGTTCCTTTAGGAGGAGCGCACGTAGCGATTATTCGCGCTCACGTGCACACGCACACACAGAGGGACGACGAATGAAAGCTCGCGCGCGCCTTTCTTACTCCTTTCTCCCGACACACTTTCGCCGTGTTCCCCGCGAGTTCTTTAGCAGAGAGAGAGAGAGAGAGAGAGAGTTCCGGTATTCGCGATTAGGCCTTTCTTCAGGGCCGCCTTTTGTCGCTGACCCACGAACCCTGCTCTCTCGCCGAAGATCGAACGAGGAGAGTAGTAATCAGGGTGAGCTTTGTCGTAGTTGGCCGGCGCGCTGAAATATCACGGACGTTTCTCCTTCGACTGAAACAGATAGGTGGATGGATAAGTGCTTTAATTATCGCTCGACGGTTCAACCGTTCGAAAATATTACACAGTACTTTTCAGTATTGCGAATTTTACAAGAAGGAAAGGAAGGTAAGGTGAGATCGGAGATCGGATTGTAATTTGAAAGAAGTCCGTTTCGTCACGGCCGAGCGAACGGTTATCTAGTTCGCGAGAAACCGCGAAATGCGAACGACGACGACGATCGCCATCGTCGCCGCGCATGGCTACGTGTTACGGAAAAATGTTAGCGTGCCGTCGCGCGGATTGAAAATTCCGAAATTGTTGAGAAGCTGCGCGCGTTTGGCCGTACAAGTGAATCCGTAATATCCGAACATGCGCGCGCGTACGCGCGTACATATAAATGAAACGCCGGCGATATTTATATTCGCCCGCGCGCGCACTCCGTACTGGCTTTTCATTCCGGCGATTAAATGCCACATCGATCGCTCGAATGTCGATTAGCGGTATTAGCCCGGGGAAGGATTATATCGTTCATCGAGTGAGTGATTCGCGTCGAATTCGGTCGTATCGCCCTCCCCTGCATTCTCCCCCGTTGATTCCTCCCGTTAAAAGAATCCGATAATGGATAGACTCCGTGTAATGAAAAAAAAAAGGAGGGGGAGAAAAAGGAGAAAGAGAGTAGGGAAAAAAAGTCACGCAAAGCGGCAACTTTCGGCGTTCGAAATTGCGAACGTTCGCGAAAGAAAATTCGCGAGAAGCTCCACGAAGCTCGCTTTATTCGTGTTACCTCGAGCGACTGATAAATCGTCCTTCAAATTTTTCCGTTCTTTTGACCGCGTCCACCGACTCTCGGAATCTCGGGCGCTGCGCCGACACCTGAGCCATTCGGGTGTTACACGCGTACCTGAGTACCCCGAATATTCCACAACTCACCCGAATATACAACTTTATTCGGTAACCGGCTCTCCGAGTATCTTACTTGTTCTTGTTACTATTTTCTTGTTTTTTTCTTATTTTATACTTCAGGTAGTCCCGCGCGTAAAAGTATCGAGATATGGCCGATGGAAAAGCGGATGCTCGAAAATTTCACGTCAGGGAAATCAAGTCAAGATAAATTCTGAAACATCCGACAAAGTACTCTCACTTTTTCTCGCGGGCTTTACCTCGATACACTTGTATTTCTGTCAAAGTCGGTCCTCGTTGAAATCCTCAACATAACGCGCGTGTTAATTCGAGGACGTATCGTACGTTCGTATTGTCACGATGCATTTTGCGTTGAGTCTCGATATTCGACGAGTGTAAATGCTGAAATAACACTCGGCATTTCTAAAGTAACTATATTTTATACTTCGGCCCGCCGATTAACACATTATGAATATTAATTCCGCGTTAATTCTCGACGTTAATATTTACCTTCTTTTCCAATATATTTGCCTTTACGTTGAATTCACACGAAATTTCGCGTGGATCGCACAGTGGGAACATATTGAAATGTATTAAATTTCGCGGTAAAAATTTTTCACCGCGCTGTCGCGACGAGCATATTTTCACGAAAGCACCCCCCCCCCTCTCTCCCTCCACCCGTCATACATACACGAAAAAATGTCCGCGTGGTACCTGGTCCCTGTGAAAATGGATACCCGACAGCGCTTCTGTGTTCCTGAACACTTTGCGCCCTCGAAAGTGACGTCACGAGGCGTCGATACGGGGTTCCTCCGTCGAGGCTTCCCCGCGCGCTTCAACTTTATTCGCGATTCGCGCGGCCATAGCCTTACGAGGACGGTTTGGCGTTTCCCGCGCGCATAACAATGCGTTAAATCTGACGACGACGGCACGGTGACATCGCGCGATTCATTCCCGCGTTGCTTTGTCGCAAGACGAGGGTGGCCGACGGCAGTATTTTCGGACGGTTCATTGAGGAGAATGCGCCTCGCGCACAGTGACAGCTGTGTTGATGGTTCCTTTATAGTCGTTCGGGCCAGAGGCGTACGACGGCAGGTGTGTGAGGTCGCCTACGCGACGTATATTGGTCGCGGGCGATAGAGTGGGTGGCGTCCACAATTAGCCGATGTAAGCAGCGCGCGTACGTCATAAATTGATGTTGCGCCAGCAACGGACGAGGGCGAAATTTTCTTTACCCGGCGTGCGTGCCCGCGTGGGTGACAGTACGCGCGCGGATTTTTGCTAGCGGCGCGTGGAATTAATCCGCGAACGCGGTCTTCCCTCCCCCCGGGCCTCGGCCGGCCGGAAATAGAGGATCGAAATATCTGGCCGAGTTTTCCAGTGGTTTAACGGCGAAGACGACTGGAAATCATAGCTGCGACGATGTCGCTCTCGCCGCCTCCGCTAGCGCGCCGCAGGCAGGAACTCTCTCTCTCTCTCTCTCTCTCTCGTGAGTAACCGAGAGCTTGAATATTCGATGAATTCGCCCCGACGTATCGTCGCTATTTCGAGCGCGCGCACTTTTATTTAAATCTATCGCGCGTTTCCGCGGATGTAACGTACGCTGGGGGGGGGGGNGTGGGGGGGAGAAGGTAATAAAACGCAACGCAACGGGTGAATCGGGAACTGGCGCGAAAAACCCTTTATAAAGGGTCCGGTGCGTAGCGCGTGGAGCGCGCTACGGGTTTCGTTTCGGCACATTTTCCCCTCTTTCTTTTTTTTTTTTTCGATTTTTGTTCGAAGAACTTCTCGCAAGCTCATTGGGCTCGCGTATATCGCGAAAAAAAACATCACTCGCGTATATCGCGGCGCGAGTGGATCTCCCGCGATATA